GGTCAAATATTCAGGTGACTACAACCCAGCGTATAGCTTGACTGTAACCTCATGGGAGTCTCTGAGCCACAGCTGTCCAGCTAAACTGCCCATGGATTCCTAACCATCAGAAACTGGAGATACTAAGTGTTTGCTTTAAGCTAAGTTTTGTTCTGCAGCAACAGATAACTAATACAATACCTAAGTATTTCTTTCTGGTGGCTATGAAAGCCAAACTGAGAAAAGTAAAATGTTTTAGCTCACTGTTTTTCTTTAAAAAAAAAAAAAGATTTTATTTATTTTTAAGAGAGGAGAAGGAGGGAGAGAAACATCCATGTGAGATAGAAACATTGATTGGCCTCCTTTCGTATGTGTCTTCACTGGGGACCCAGTCTGCAGCCCAGCCATGTGCCCTAGACTGGGAATTGAACCGGTGACCCTTTGCTTTGCAGAATGATGCCCAACTAACTGTGCCACACCAGTCAGTGCAGCTCCCTGTTCTTCAAGTCTCATTTAGATTCTTTCAAACCTATTCCTGTGGGCAAATATATATTGAACTAAGCTAAATTGGAAAGATACAAGAAAGGGAGTTAGCTTTATTTATAGGGAGATATACATGTGCTATGTAATGATGTTTTAGTCAGCAATGGACCATACACACAGTGGTATACCAGATAGCCTCCTAGGTGTGTAGTAGGCTATAACATCTAGTTTGTGTAAGTACACTCTGTGGTGTTTGCACAATGATGAAATTGCCTAACAACACATTTCTCAGAATGTATCCCCCACTGTTAAGTGGTGCATGACTGTGTATATACCCTCTTTGAACTGGAGGATTTTCTTTTGAGAAGACAGGTCATAATATTTTCCAAGTCTAGTCTCTTTCTTGTAAAATGGTAGGGCAGCTGCTACTTCACTTGAGTTGAGATTTAAAGTTTCACTTATTATTCATTTTTTATCTAATACACCTACTTTAAAGAATGTAAAGTATGATTTGATTTTCTCCCTAGATTTTGTTATGGAAACAAGAGAAAGAATATATTTCTTCTAGCCTCTGTTTATTTCTCTTTCTGTCTATAATCAATTTTGGTAACTTTAACAATAAATAGTAAAAATGATAGGGTATACAAAGCATTTCCCAAGTGAATCCATCATGAACCTGTGTCTGAGAATGGTTTCCTAAATAGGGGAAATGTGTTTCATACAAAAAGTCCATTTTCTGTTATTGCCTTTTTTATTTGGACTACTAGATGCTATATATTTTAAGGCAATCTTAATAGTTTCCTGTCTCTCCATAACAAGAATGACTTGTCATAATGAGCAGTGTAGACACTGTCCATTTGATCTACTCCCGAAAGCTGTCTATTTGATACAAGAGTAAATCACCTCAATTCCTTTGTGGAATGAGTTGAGTATAAATAAATGAATGAGACACAAGAAGAAAACAAAATCTGGTCAGGTTTTTCCTATTAGAAGGAAACAAAGGATAGGAACATTTGGAGGCCTACTTAATTTAAAAAATGTGAAAAGATAAAGAATTATATGTGATAACTGTAAGGGGAGGAAGAATCCTCACTAAAATAAAATGTCCATGAAAGAGTTTCATTATTTGGAAAGAAGATAATTTTATAGTTTGAGAATAATAATTCTAAATTCTTTGAAGTTAGAAGACCTATGTTATAAAATGATTTTTGCTCACTTTTACTTCCACCAAAAGGGTTCTAGTTTTCAGCACCCTTTCTATAATACATCACATTTCTAAATCTGAATAGAAATTTTAGTTTCTATTTTAGGAAATGGATTTGTTTGGGGGGTGTCTCTTTTGTTGTTATTTTACATATTTTCTTTCAATTGTAAATCTTTTGTGTTGTTTTTTATTTTGAGAAGACTCCAAAAGGTTCAAATTTTTCTTTTTACAATAGTGTGTGGTGTACCTCTTAGAGAATTACAGAAAAATATCATTGCACTTAATTGTTTTTTACTGTTACTGTCTGAAATTTCTTTTGTGTGAAGTATCAGGAGAGCTGTTATTCCATGTCAGGTTTAAGGTTCCATGTGGGGTTAAAAGTTATGACAAAATTTTAAAAATTATTTTATTGTAGTTTAATTACAGTTGTGTTTATCCCCACCACTCCCCCCAACCCCAGCCAAACCCACCTCCCTCCCTTGCTTCCACCCCCCCTTGGTTTTGTCCATGTGTCCTTAATAGTTCCTGAAAACCCTTCCCCTTCCCCCTATTATCCCTCCCACCCCCTCTTGGGTTACTCTCAGATTGTTCTTAATTCCAATGTCTCTGGTTATATTTTGCTTGCTTTTTTCTTTTGTTGATTAGGTTCCAGTTAAAGGTGAGATCATATGGTATTTGCCCCTCACTGCTGGGCTTTTTTCACTTAGCATAATGCTCTGAAGTTCCATTTATGCTGTCATAAAGGGTAGGAGATCCCCCTTTCTCTCTACTGTGTAGTATTCCAAATGTACCATACTTTTTTGATGCATTTATTTACTGATGGGCACTTAGGTTGCTTCCAGCACTTTGCTATTGTAAATTGTGCTGCTACAAACATTGGGGTGCATAGGTTCTTTAGGATTGGTGTTACAGGGTTCTTAGGCTATAATCCCAGCAGTGGAATTGCTGGGTCAAAAGGCAGTTCCATTTTTAGTTTTTTGAAGAAATTCCATACTGTTTTCCTTAGAGGCTACACCAGTCTGCATTCCCACCAACAGTGTACTAGGATTCTCTTTTCTCCACATCCTCACCAATACTTGCTTGATATTTGTTAATGATGACCATTCTGACTGGTGTGAAGTGGTATCTCATCATGGTTTTAATTTGCATCTCTCTGATGGCTAGGGATGCTGAGCATCTTTTCAAATGTCTCTGGGCCCTCTGTATGTCCTCCTTGGAGAAGTGTCTATTCAAGTCTTTTGCCCATTTTTTAATTGGGTTGTTTGTCTTTCTGGAGTGGATTTGTGTGAGTTCTTTATGTATTTTGGAGATCAAACTCTTGTCCAAGGTATCATTGGCAAATACGTTTTCCCATATAGTTGGTTTGCTTTTCATTTTAATGCTGTTTTCTTTAGCCATGAAGAAGTTTTTTAATTTGATGAGGTCCCATTTGTTTATTGTTTCCTTTATGTCCCTTGCTTTAGGGGACATATCAGTGAAGATATTGCTGCATGGAATGTCTGACATTTTCCTGCCAATGTTTTCCTCTAGAATTTTTATGGTGTCATGACATATTTAAGTCTTTTATCCATTCTGAATTTATTTTTGCGTATGGTGTAAGTTGGTGATTGAGTTTCATTTTTCTGCATGTAGCTGTTCAGATCTCCCAACACCATTTTTTGAAGAGGCTGTTTTTACTTTGTTTTATGCTTCTGCTCTCTTTTGTCAAATATTAATTGACCATAGAAACTTGGGTTTATTTCTGGGCTCTCTGTTCTGTTCCATTGGTCTATATGTCTGTTCTTATGCCAGTACAAGACTGTTTTGATTACCATGGCCTTATAACATAGTTTGATGTCAGTTATTGTGATCCCTCCTACTTTGTTCTTCTTTCTCAAACTTGCTGCAGCTATTCAGGGTCGTTTATGGTTCCATATACATTTCTGAAATGTTCATTCTATATCTGAGAAACATGTATGACAAAATTTTTAAGTCTCATTCAAGAATATGTATATTGGTTTTAGAGAGTGAGGATGGGAGAGAGAAAGAGAATCATCTATTGGTTGCCCCTGGTATGCCTACCCCCCACCCTGCCCCTACTGGGGAGGGAGTCTGCAACCTAGGTATGTGCCCTGTCCAGGAACCAATCCATGACCTTTTGGTCTGTGGGATGATGCTCCAATCAACTGAGTCACTGAGTCAGGACAATGACAGGTTTTGTGCCCTATGATTCTCACAATCAAATCTCAGGATGTATAACATCAGGACCACCTAGAAGGCTTATTTAAAATGTAAATAATCAGGCCCAGTCCTAAAATGACAGGGTCAGAATCTCTGGGAGTGGGACTTCAGAATCTGTATTATAATAGGTTCTCTCTGGGGTTCTAATGCAAACTAAAGTTTAAGTGCCAATGATCTAGTAGTCAGTGTTGGAGAGTAGAGGAATAAACAATATACATTGTGCTTGGAGCCATAATAATCTTCAAAATACAATAGTAGCATCTAGGAAAGAGCTTTTCCATGGCAGTTCCTATGAAAAGAAATAGAAAAATACGTATATTTTACACGCACACAGTACCGAGAAGTGTCTTTTGTAGTTTTCCAGTAAACCTGAGAAGATTTACAGACAGGAGACAATCAAGAAGTATTTGTTTACTAAACGATTAGGCTGGAGTGAACAAATTTTATAATTCCATTCTACTAATCACCAGCAATTTGATGCCTATAGATGGACAGTGATATTTCTGTCTACATAGCTCTTTCTTTTTTTTAAACTCAGAAAGACAGTGATTAGAACCCCCTCCTCTTTGATGGCAGCTGGGGAAATCAGTCACCTCAAGAAGCCGTTTTAGGTGGAAAAGTAAGAGCCAATCAGATAGCTCTCCGGCTTCTCAGGGAGGATTGGCGGAAGATGGAATGTTGTCACCAGCACTCAGTCGGACAAAGACTGCTTGTAATAGTTCCGGACAGCCGGAAATTCCTTACGGGTTCCCAGGCGAAGTGTTCAACCTCGGCAGCGCAGACCATTCGCTAGTGGGTGTCTTGATCGCAAAACGTGGAGGCACTAAGAACACCGCATTACCCGAGTGCCCGGGGAAATGGTCAGCAGTTTTGGCGATACCAGTAACAAAAATGGCGATAATCCGCTTCAGGCGATGGGGCCCCAGTCCGCTCCCTCCCCACCAGCCACTCCTCCTCCCGCTCCTAGTCCTGGAGGTGGGCGTGGTGTGTTCAGTGGCTCCAGACCGGGAGGTAAGGAAAACCGAGAAACACACATGCGCAGTTGTGCGCTTCAGCCATCGGTCTCCGCCTGGCCCGTAGCCCCGCCCAGGTCTCCCCAGCGGGGTTGGGCCGAGAGTCCAGCAGCTGCTGGTTGGGGCTTCGGTGACTTCCTTGTTGTGAGCCCCAGCCCAGCAGTGTCCGGAATCGTAGTCCCGCACTGCTTACCGGACCGGTAGCCAGAGTCTAGGTCGCAGCCGAAACCCCAGCCCGTTGGTTACCCTTTCATTTCAGGTCCTTCCCCCGCACGCCCCCGCGCTCCGTAAAATGCCCAACCCCAGCAGTACCTCCTCTCCCTGTTCCCTCCCCGAGGAAGTTAAGAACCTGTTGGCAGGTAAAGAGCGGGAAGGGGGCGGGTAACACCGCGGGGCGGAGGCGGGGGGCGAGGGGACACTGAGCCCAGCGGTTCAGAGTTTCAGAGTCCTTCCCATCCCTCCCCACGATCCCCTTTTCTTTTGGACAGTGAGCGTGGGACTGGGACAGGATCTGAGGAGAGGCGTGGGCGTGTGTGTTGAATTTTGGTGCTGGGATGGTGGGAAAGCCCTTATGGATGAATTACACTATTCTGTGTGCATGGTAAAGACGCCGTGTGTGTGTGTGTGTGTGTGTGTGTGCGCGCGCGCGCGCGAGAAAAACGAATGAGTTTGAGTGTAAAGTGTGAGAACTAGGAAGCGATCAGTAGTCCAAGAAGTACTTTTTTGGTGGCCTGGCTAATGGAGGAGAAGGGTGTAAAGATGCAAAGAGATGTGTCTGAGCTACAGGTGTTAGGGGTTATGGGATAGAAGAGTTTGTCATCCTGAAACTCTCATTATTCTTGAGCATCCAGTCCACTCATATTTAAGTCTTTCAAAGAGGGCCTGATTCTCAAATGGCCACTAGTCTTCAGCTTAAGTAACATTAAAAAGGAAGGATGTATTAAAGTACAACTTCCTGTGTCACCATGATGAAAGTATTTCGTCTTTGCACCCTCATCTTCCCCTTTTCAGTTTTAACTGACCATTTACAGGAACTTGCTTTACGAGTTAAAGATGCGGTTCTTAAAGCTATGTACTAGATATAGAGGTGTGTACTGTAACTTGGGGCCAATGAAAAATTTGTATTTCTGCATAAGGTAGAAAATATAGTAGGGTAACACAAATATTATATATTCTGATGCTCTGGAATTCTTACCATCATTCATTTTGTCATACGTACAGCAGAATTTTGGAAACTTAATTTTGATAGTTTTACTTTAGTTGTCTCTTAAATATTTATCTTTCTATATTGGTCATGAATACCTGGAGTAAAAGAGTTTCTTAGATGCCTATATTACAAGTTGGTTATTCTTAAAAAGCAATATCTAAAATGTGACATTTTAAATAGTAAGTTACAATTATAGTGTGAAAGCAAATCTAATACACTGTTACACTGTTTTGGTGGTTAGCATCATGAATATAATAGAGGAAATAAAATCAATAGCATATGGATGCAGACTTGGTTTGTGTGAACATGATTACAATGTGATGAATGCATTTCTGGTGAGACAGTATTTTACTCTAAGAAATTGTTGTCATTAATGGGTACCACTAAGGGAAATATTGAAAGAACTGAAAAGACAGCTTTCATTCCATTATATTAGAGTTTCACATGAATATATTTTGTTTTACTACAGTTAACATTTTTGTTGTCACAATGCTGGACTTGCTTAGATATTGTTTAGAATACTATATTAATAGCCAGATCAGATTAGTATTTATCATTACCCCCCAAATTGATGTTACCATTTTCAGGATGTTCTAGGTCTAGGACTGAATATTTTGGCCCCCCCACTTTTAAGGTGTGAATTTTTTAATTTAAGAAATAAAGTACAGATTTCTGGGTGCACACTTCTAATGCTTGACAGCTCCCACAATAGACAGTTTCCTATTTTGATCCATAATCCTACACATGCCGATAGTATGAAGTGTAGGTTATGAGATCCTGTATTCTCTGATCCCTATATATTACAAGTGTTTCATGTGCCCTTATTTGACTAATTCAACTGAAAGGTTAGAATTAGATAATAGTTAAATTATCTACCAATGCTATCTTCCTACATACTTTAGCTCCCTCTCTCTTTGGTCAGATAGTATACTTGTATGTCTGCAGTCAGCATTTAAAAAGTTATCTTGTTGATATTTTCAATATTTCATATTAGCAAAGCAAATCATACATTAAAACACACGAAATAATGAAAAGAAATATGAAAACATAAAACATTTGGAGATAATAAATTTGGCTTATTCTTTATTTTCAGAAGATTTTTTCAGGAGGTATGGATGTGAGAAAAAATATTTTAAAGAAATAAAATAAGTGAATCAGTGTTTTTTTAATTTTTTGACTCATTCAAAGAAAGTTAACATTTTAGGTTTGATTGTAATTAAAATATTTTTTTGAGGTAGGAAAGTTTTCAAGAATAAATGCTCTCGGGTTTTTTTTTTCCGCAGTTTTCATTAAAAATCTGTTGGAATTGTGCATGATGATTTGTGTTGAGTAGTAGCATATGGTTAGATATAAAATTACTAATACTATGGAAAAAAAGTTAGTATTGGTGTGACATTTAGAGATGTTACTGACTTACCTAGCTCTTTCTTTGGAACTAAGAACAAAGATATTGGTTGATTGTAGTTAGCAGCTGAGAGCTCTTGGAATGCATGGACTGTGCTAGAATTCCAAGATAGAGAATATAAGCACCTAAACTTTTCAGGTGTTTAAAATTCCTTGCCTTTAGAAAAATGAATATAAAGTAAAAGATAATGTTTTTCAAAATAAAATTGTTTGGACATTTCCCTTTGTATTCCATGTGCCTGGTATTCAAGTCAGTGCATATCATGTGTGTTAAATGTTTGACATTTCAGCAGCTTGATAGAGGCTCACATGTATTCTTACCAGTTTATTATTTTCTTTGTTGTTATTTCTTTTTAAAATTTGTAACAGAAAGGCTTTCCAGGGAAAGCCTCTCATTCCTTCCCCCTTAAAGAAAGAAAAAACACTATAGGAATGCAAAAACCCATAGAGGCTATCATTCTTAACTCACATTTAATGATATTCTGGAAAAAGCAGCTATAGAGTTAAACTGTTAGTTATTTATATTGCTATGGAATCAGTACTTAAATTTTGAAAGCCTACACTTTTCATAGAAGTGTTGAGTTATTCTTTCATTTCATGAATGGAAAAATATTTACAGATTTTTGTTGTTAAAAGCAAATTTTGAACTGCCATATGCAGGCAATCTTTAATTTTTTAAATTTGATTTAATTTCCTTAAAGTTAAATTTATTCAGTGACATTGGTTAATAATGTTATATAGGTTTCAAGAGTACATTTCTGTGATATGTGATTTGTATATCTCATTGTGTGTAATTTTTTTCCACAACAATGGAAGAACAGGTTTAGCCTGGAAAATTAGAATCAAAGGATAATCCCAAATCTTGTCCATTTAATCTTCTCCTACATCCAAATATTTTGACTAGGACTAACAGCAAGAATAATCTTGATTTATGTGAGTTTCTCCTCCAGGCAGCCAAGAAAGTGAGAGGCATTGGAACCACTGGCCCCCCAGCCTCTTTAATTCGTTCAATCACCCTTTGAATACTGGAGTGCTGGTGGTTTGCAGTCAGATACTCTCATTCATTTGTGTTAGGACAACATACTTAAAAAGGAGAGCTGTAAGAAGATGTTAGGATCCTTTTATAAAATTAGAAAAGGAAACCAATGTTAACAGAAGAATATAGTGGATCTGAAAAATCAAAACCAAACAAAACCAAACCGACAATAAACAGAGTGGCTGTATGATTTCTGCCAAGTGACCTTGAGATTTTGTTCATCTGACAAGTCTTGAATTGAAATACTGCATTTTTTCCTATTGGGGATCTGCAGAACATTTTTTTTAAAACCTTCGCACATTATAATCAATGATCCCTTTAGGGGCACTAGGTAAAGAATGCTGCTCAGTTGAAATAGAGGCAGAATTTTTTCCCCAATGCTGAGGATAGTATGGTTTGATTTCCACCTTTCCAAAGTTCCATTTATAATTTGGTCAACATTTTGGCCTTATTCTTCCTATGAGAAATATTTATGGTATATCTGGTGTCCCATAACTTTCTACTGGCGCCTTGGCTGAGTATGTAAAGGGAAGAGTGCCACCTACTGAGTCACCAATAGTCACCTACTTCGTTAGCACCTGGATTTTCCTACAGAGCAAGATCAAGCTGGCCCCATTTTGACAGCAGTAACTAATGAGCATAAAGTTGATATTAGAAGATTTTTATCTTAAAATGAAACCAGTCTCTGATACCTCTAAGATACTCTCTTCTAGAAATAAGAAAATGTATTTGTAAATCAAGGGACCAGAATTTCAGTGTCTTATATAAGTAACATAGATGAATTTAAGATGTGATGTTAGGAAAATTATTTGCCTATCTTAATCACATGACGTCCTACTTTTCTTGAGCAGGGGTTTTGGCTGCCTTTTTCCCCCACGTGGCTTTCCATTAGAAGTATTTTCATTTCAGATTACTAAATAAGGCTCTTGATAGTACCCGCTCTTTTTACAGTCACTCAATCCAAATTATCAGTGGTTTTCTTGTGAAAAAGGGAATCTGTACTAAAAATGGAAAGGATATAAAAAATTTCCAAATGAGTTTTATCTCTTCATTACCAGCACTAAAGTATGACTAGAAAGAAGATAGAAACAGCAGAGTAGGAACAGCCTCTGGTGGTTTGAAACACAGTTCAGTTGTCTCTCATAAATTTAAGATTAAGTGTCATATATGGGTGATAAAAGTGGCAGAGGCTAGTTTTTATACACTCATTATTCACTTAGTTTGTCTTTTTCAATTAAAGCCAAGTGTATTTTTTTTCATTCCACTGAGTTTACATTTCTTTTTCAATCACATACTGAACACATTATAATAGATGCTGCCTAACAGGGAATATAGTGTGGCTCTCAGACTAATGTGTTATTCATTGGGGCTTCTTTGAAAATACGTGGCAAAAAGATTTTGATTATTTTAAGGAGCCATTTATCAAGAATCACCTTTTAGAGCTGAAAGATGTTCATCCCTATCCTTCAACAGGCCAGTTTTTAAAAATCAAAATAAATCATTTACCCTCCAAAACCAATTCTGAAAATTTTGTCAGATGATAGGAAGTAAGAGTTATGTTTTCTGTGAGAACTCCTGTGCTTGTTCATGCCTCTTCTTCCATGTTGGAAAAGTCTGCAGTTTAACTATAACCTATTGAAGTGGGAGATAATCAAGAGGAAGACATTGATTAGAGCAGTCCATAATTTTTGAATTAACCATTTTCCAACTTTGGCCATTTGGCTCCATTGATCTACATGTACCCAGTTGAATTGATTTTTATGGTTTCACCCATAGGTGTGTTTGGTCAACTATGTCTCCTTTTAAGAGAGAGAAAAGCATTTTTTTTTGTTCTGATGCCAGCTTAAACTTTGGCTGGGGTCCTTGCCACATTAAGTTTGGTGATAAAACCTCACTGAATACAAACTAAAATCTGGCCCAATTCATGAAGCAGAGAAAGCTGTAGAATTAAGTAGTAAAACCATTTGGAGTATAGTGTGGTTGGGTTTTCACTTATTTTATTGATCTGGGGCTGAGCAAATGGTAGTTGACGCAGTTCAATTCTTGCCTCCTTCTCATCTGCTATTCAGACCAATCACCACAGGCTGTGTGTGTGTGCCCACTCAGGTATTAGATGGTTGGGCGACAGGCTGAAGACCCCAGGTGTTACCTTTGTGACTTGTTTACAACCTCCAGCCTGAAAGGCATATTCCAGGCTGTTTGCTGGTGGAGGATGGTAAGGGCAAGTGGTCAAACATCCGCTTTCTTCAAGAATGGGAACCTGTGCTGTGTACTTAGCTTCAAGGAGCTGACAGTTTTATTTTATTGTTTGTAAGAATTTAAAGACTGTTCTAACCTTGTGTGGTTTCACCTTTTCACTGTGTATGGAAGTTTGTGGAAAGCAGTTAGCCTTTGTCTGTGTTTAGATACCTGTCCTAGACACTCAGGTGGCAGTTTTTCTAGGGGGTCCTTATGTATAGGGAGTTCATCCAACAGGGGAGAAAGGGCGGTTGGAGTAAGTACCATTTGGTGATTTGGTGTGAGCTGAGTGTTTGCCTCTTAGGGGTTGAGATGGCTATTGAGAGGTTTCTAGCTTAAACTGCCTGACGATTGCTGAGCCCAGAGAGGATGCCATCTTTTAATTTTGTTTTCAGACCTTAACATTTATCCACAGAGGAACTGTAAATCTCATCTTTTTAGAGGCCCCCTCCCCCAGATTTTTACAGTCCTACCGGGAGATAGGGTTTGCTCTTGCCAGTGTTAAGGAGTAGCAAGAGCAAAAATCACCACTGCATTTACATTAGTTGGTATAACTCCAGCGCCCCCCCCCCCCCCCCCGTGATGACTTGAGGGCAGAGGCTGATGCAGATGGGGCTAGTTCTAAGGGTTTCAGAGGATGCCCGGGCGCTGATCTGCAGTCTAGGAGACTGTGGAGTGAAGGGTTGTGAGGTGAGGGGATTAGCCCTCGTGCATTGGGCGCCTCCAAATTTGTACTGGGTTTCTCCTCTCCCGCAGCGAGGGCGCGAGTGAGTGGAGACCCCTCCTTTGGAGGAAGAGAAATTCTAACTCATCAGGCCTAGAGGCAAGTGAGAAGGCAGGCTGACCTTTCCTTGTAATCGAATAATGGCTGTTCCCTGAATTGCAGACAATCTAGTCGGTGAGATCTACATATTAACCCAGGGACACGACCCCTGAAGGAAGGTAGAAGAGGACTACTGCACTCGCTCGTTTGCCGTTTGCAGGGCTATTCAGAGTACAATAAAAAGCTTCAAATCTCTTTTCCAACCAGCCAGAGGAGCGCTTGATTCGCCCAGGACTTTTATTGCTTGCTTTTGAAATATTACCCCGGCTCTGAGCCACAAAGCCGCAGCAGATCCAGTCCCATTTGTCTGGTGAAGGCGCTGCCCCAAACCTAGCGCTTCCTTCTCACAGCTCCTATGACTGGGACCCTGGGGTTTAACACTCCGCTTGTCAGATGTCGAATGTCACGAACTTCAGCGCCCAAGCGTCTCCCAGTAAAGCCTCAATAACTTTTCAGTGCTCGCTCTGTCTTCACGCTGGGACCCGGTGTAGGCCCGGGGCCCGGGCACCTCCAGCGGGTCTCCTGTGCCTGGAAGAGGCTGGTTTCGTTGGATTCGAAAATAACCGGGCACGGCGTGGGTTTTATCGGGGTGGGAAACCAAAACACCAGATTTGAAAACCTTAAAAACCTAACCCATGTAGTTAGTGGGCACCAACAAACTAGGATGATTGCAGTAATTGCTTCTACTTTAAAGCTCTTCACTTACTTGTTAAAAAAAGAGGAAAAAAAAAAAAAAACCCCTAGCAAAGCAGTTTCAACGCTTTCCTTGTCTCCTTTCTTAAACTAATGTTTGTTAAATCTTTTTAGTTGCCTTAAACCCCCTTTCTGGGATAAACTTAGGAATGAAAACATTAAGACTACCCTGAAAATATAGATCTTTTCCTTTGCCCAATCTTCGAATCTACCCCCTCACCCTGAATAAACAAACAACATAGATTTTTTCTTGCAGCTTCACTCTCTCAACAAGTATTTCCTCATAAAATAGTAGCAGGGATCGGTATTTTAAAAACATTTTTTTGAGAGTGTTAGGAAACACTGTATAGAGCATCAGCTTTTTATGTTTTCTGTTTTTATAGAATTGAAACGACCTTTTAAAGTAATAACTCTTAGGCTGTAATTTGTTCTGTTATTGCTTCCAGAGATGGAAATAGATCCCGTTTGTTTAAACTTGGATTGTATAATGAAAATGTAAAATAGGCAATTAAATACTCGTGGATGAGGGAATTAAAGACAAACACTGAGCGAAAGTAACATTAAGCAGACTCTTCACCAATCATTGTGCCAGTGATTTTCACAAGGACTGAGTCCGGTTGGAAGAAAGAATCAGTAGAGATGCTCATGTTCTTTCCCTTATTCCATTTTTCTTAGCAGATTTATTGTAACCATCCTAGAGAAGCCAATGATCTCTTCCATTTCAGCTAATATCTGAATGGCCAAAGGTTGCTTGCTCCTCTGGGTGCCACATTTAAAGAGTTTAGAGGAGAACACTTTCTTTTTTATGTTTCATTATTTTGAACTTACTTTAGAAGTCTGAGTCTAATTTGCACTGATACTGGATTATGTCCCTGTGTCCCCATCTTCAAAAACATGGACAGCTCAAAGAAAGAGAAGCAGTGACACTTTGCTTTCATTTTGTTTTGATACTAGCTTTTAACATTAAAACCAGAAAGCTAGTTCTAAAAAATATATCAAGATTAAATTTCAATTCTTTTACTTGTCATATTGATTTAGGGAAAATTACCTTTATACCTTTATTGTTAATATATAGAATAACAGTTTAATCAACTTTGCTTATGAGATCAGGATGCTTTTGTAATCAAGAATTTAAAGTTGATTAGATCATATCTCAATACTAGGTTTAAAATTGTTAGTTATAAGTACAGTTGAAATATTATTATACTGTTTGAATTAATACATGTAATGTTATTATATATTTTGATACTGTTTCTTTATCAATGTGAATTAGGAGACAAAGCAGTTACGTAAAAAGAAAGTAAAACTCACAATGTACACACATTTCTTCAGTATGAGATATGATGGTTTACAGTTGTACCTACTTGAAACATTTTTTATGGTATCGTCTATATTAGAGATCTTAAAGTGAGACTTGAAAATTCTATATATAAAATTAATTTAAAGTTGTACAGTATTTCATAAACAACAAGAAAGGAGCTATTATACAATCATACCAGTGAGGATTTGTTGGAATTTTATAGTAGAGAGAACTAGACATCAGAATAATTTAGAAGTTTACTAAACTTTTTAAAAAAGAGACTATGTGGAAAGTTATATGAAGCCATAAAATCTTATTTCTAGGTTACTGTGTTTCTAAATAGTGGATTTTTTTATTGTTACTACTTATTCCTCCTTTTAAAGAAATATTTTCAGGTGGTAATACCAAGGCAAGAAGGTAGAACACACAAAACCACACACTTGATTATCTTTTTTATTTGAGGGTGGCTGGCGAAGGTGGATGGGGCAGGTAGGAAGGAACAGGGTATGATTTGGGGAGTCTTGGCTAGAAAAGGAGATTTATTTTTTCTTGTAAATCATTAAACATCTGAAAAGATTACACGGGGAGAAATAGGCCCTTGCCAGAGACATTAGCTTATACCGATATAATACAGTGAATGACCTATTCATACAGGAACTCATAAAATACTATAAAATGGTAGTAACACGTGCATAAAAGCTCTGTGCTTGCTTTTATATGAGAGAATTTGTTTTATGGGGCACCATAGTTTATTGAAACTTGGGTGCTTCTTCCCGGTTTAATGATGCCAAACATCCAAATAGCATTTGCTATGCTAAGCATAAGTAGAGCATACAGACTTTATTAGCTGAGTGATGAACAAATTTGTCCAGCTTAGTATTTGAAACATACTTCAGCTGTTATGCTTTCGATTGATAAATAACTAACAAATTGTACAGCTATTAACAGTTATGGGTAGGCACAATCATTGTCCTGTTTGTCTTAACAAAAATGATTCTTATAATTTGTATCCTGTTTCTTACATTTTATGGTTTAGATGTTGAAACATTTGTGGCAGACATACTGAGAGGGGAAAATTTATCCAAGAAAGCAAAGGAAAAAAGAGAATCTCTTATTAAGAAGATAAAAGATGTAAAGTCTACGTAAGTCACTTACCTCTTGTTACTAACTTTTTACTTAGAAGCAAGTTTGTAATTAACATATTAATAAAGAATTGATTATCATTGCATTAAAATTTTAATATTGTTATTTAATAGTTGTTAAGTATTTTTAAAGGAAAAAATATATTTTCACTATAATAGCTTTTAAAAATGGACATGTTTACCACAATACCCTTTTTTGTAAAGGTTCCTGAGTGTGTATTTTCCTAAGTATTCTAGCAATATTCAACCATTTATTTTTATTAGGTGAGGATATATTTGGTTTAACTAATAAGACATAGTTAGTTGATAATTTTAGTATAAATATGGTAAATAACTGCCAGATATGGAAATGAATAAATGTACATTATAGGTATTAAGGATATGTTCTGATTTTACTACTGTAACTTAGGTCTTTAAAAATACTTTTCTATTAAATCCACAAACCTTCTGCAACTGTCATTTCAAGACATGAAGTAGTTTTTTTCCCTCTAAATATATTAAAATAGTTTTGAATTACTGCCATGTATTGGACATTGTTTTGATTTGTCAGTACTCATTTAAAAATATAATGCTCTTGTTTTATTTTGCAGCTATCTTCAGGAATTTCAAGACAAAGGTAAATTTTTGAGTGTATCAAACCTGAAATTATTTTTCCTTGTAGAAGTTTTCAATAGGCTAATCTAACACATACTGAAATGTGATAGTCGGATTCAAAATTTAAGTATCCGATGAGTATACTTAGACTTTCAAGATGAGAGTGCTGGCTCCCCCTGCTGAGAAAAAAATTAAAACGCCTATCCAGAATCTACTCTGCACAATGTTCTCCTGAAGAAATCCTCCGTATTTAACATTCTTAAGTTTTAACGTCTCAGAGTACATTGTGGCAGACACTGGTTGTGAAAGGTGTACGCTTGGCAGTTATATGTGGAGTGATTCAGGGAAGCATAGGTGAGATACCAGCCCAGCACCACTTAGCTCCACAGAGATGATTTCAGGGTAGTGATGGGAACAGGAGGCCCCCTGGCTAGGTGCTCATAGATAATGATTTTTTTTAAGGATAATTGTTTGAAAAATGGGATCAGTTTTTGCTGAGAATGTGAGCAAAATCTTTTTCAAGTGCTGGTTTTTATTATTCTTTTGAAATGAATAAATGCGCCATAGAAATTTTCAAAGAAGGGAGTCCAGTTTCATTTTTTTGAAATATGTGAGAGTACTGGTAATCTGTTTGTCTTCCTTTAGATTTGAGGGATGGCTGCTTAGTGCACTGAAGACCAAATCAGGAAAGGAGTAGGAAGTTCCTACTTTCTCATGTCTTCAGTTCTGTAAGGGAAGCTGGGTATGGCCCTTCCTTGCATGATGCTAATTCACAGGTCATGACCTGAATCCTGTGAATGCTGGTATGAGGGTCACAACGTGAGGTCAGTTAACCTATGTGGAGCCAGGATCTGCTTTTGGGGGAAAAAAACAGTGTGACGTCTTCTAACTGGGGTTAGCAGACACCACAGAGTAATTCATATCTCTGCCAACCGATAAGTGAGAGAGTAGTGACAGTTTCAGTAAACCAAGTACTTAGCCAGACAAGCCTAAAATCAAACAGTTAGAAGGAAACCACAGTACTTTTCACATTAAGTCATTAAGATTGTTGTGATTGGGGAGAACGAGTTATTTTTATATTAATTTTTAAAAGGGGAGAACGGGGAAACTCCTCCTTCTCATAAGTACCCACATTTTAATAATCTGCAACAAACCCTAAACTATGTGTTTAATCATGTTGCATTTTGCTTGGTCGAATACAGAAATAATACATTTTCATATTTTAATTATGATAACTTTTATATAGTGCACTGTTTATAGAAGGATACTAGGTTTTGCCTCTCTTCTTAAAAGGCGTATTTTGGACCAGGGATTATTTATCGCATTCTCATTGTGACTTATTTATGCACAGATGTATACCTTGGACAAATATAAGAAAGCATGATAATGGGAAGTCACTGTGCAATTGCATATGACTCAGTAATAGGGTAGGAACTTCCCCTTTGCTCTCTGGTTTAGGACTTGTTCAGGTGTGTGGACATTGAAATTACATTACTGAGTTCCATTTTTGTCTCTAAAGAGAATGGAGCTTTATGTAGTATTTCATAGAAACTAAAAAACGAGCCTAGAATAAGAGTTCAAATAACACAGAATTCAGAGATTCCCCATAATAATTTTTTCTTGAATGTCATTTGTAGCTCAATACTGATGTATTGAGTTAACTAATCACCAAGAGTGGCTGCCTGTTCAGAAGTGAGCCTGTGGATAAATCAGATGTATACCTTGGACAAATATGAGAAGCTGAATAATTTTGTCATTTTACCCTCAAAGTATATTCAGCTTTGTTATAAAAGGACCATTCCTGTAATTTATTAGCAATAGTAAACAGAAGTAGTGCACACTGAATAGTTACAAAGTAATTATTCAAGATAGTTTTTTTCCAAAAGTAGGAATTTATTAATGATCAGGTTCTACACTGAGTAAACTCAGTGTGTCTGTGTATGTTTTGATAGTGCTGCTTTTTCCCCTTATATTTCCCCTTGGGGTTTTGGATTGTCTTCATCTAAGGAGACCTGGGCAGATTCCTCTGGGCTCTTTTCCTGTTCTTTCTCGCCCCACCCCACCTCTCTCTCAGGTCAGTGCCGGGTCACGATGAAGTAAACAGAGGCTGTGTTCCTCCTTTTTACCTTTGAGCTCCTATTTGTTTCACATACTTTTTTTTCAAATGACATTAATTACTATCTTAATATCATTATTGGGAAGAAAAAAGGACTAGGTAGTGAGTTCTTAAATAAGACAGATTAATTCAGATGGATCCACTTCTATTAAGTAAGCTGTTAGTTTCTCTAATGTACACAGCTAATATCCTTCCTCACCCCCCCACATCTTCTCTCTTACACTGTAGATACTGCCCCTTTCCCCCCATTGAAAGATTGAGCAGCGCAGAATTTACCATTTGCAGTATTTCAGTGCTTAAAACTATTTGAATTGGTACGCTAAGTTGCATAGATTCTAGAAGATTAAAACTTTTAATTCCACTTTTTGTATTAAAAGAAACTTATTTTATTACAGTGGCTTCTGGTCATTGAAGCTTGTCCATTAAGTTAATTTCCTAATTGCTGTTTATTATACTCATTTTCTCAGCAAGCTGTGGTCTTAACACTTCCTTTCTCGTTACTTAAATTTCTTAAAGTTCTCATTTTTATCTCTTTATATCCTGAAGTCTAGATTCTCCAATGGTAGGAGATCTGACAAACTGTGACTTTAGAACGAATGATCAGTTGGTTTTCTAAATTTCTTAATTTTGCTTGTACATAAGAAAGGTCTGCATCTAAGCCACCAGAACCCATCCTGCTTAGTCTAGTCCCTGTTAATCATTGGAAATATCTAGAGTACTGAGTCCCTTCCTGTGACCCTCAGATATTGTCCATGACAGAATCATGAGTTAACCCTTGTTTCCTGTTCTTAGTTGCCATGTAGCCTAGCAATATAAAGCTTATGCACTAGAATTATGTTCATTTTAGAATTACTTTAGGATAGAATTATAATTATTTTAGAATTCGTTCTGTGTCCCATAACAAGGCCATAGGTCTCTTAAATATGACTTGAAGTAATTATTTTGTGGTAGAAATATGTTACTAATTGGGTAAAAACTGTTATTAACCCAGTATAAAATATAATTTTCTAATATATATTGGAAAATTTATATATATTAATGTACTTAATATATATTAAGTACATGATAAAAAAACCTTTTATTGTAGTTATATCTTGCCCTTGTGTTAGTCTTGTTTTACTCCAGTGACAATTCAGGCGTGATGATTTTCTGAATAGAATGATTAAGATAATGTGGAGATACCTATGTATGACCCATAGCAGGTGCTGAATAAATAGTCATACCCTCAGCCTCAACTTCATTTATCAAGAGGATTTAAGTAAATCTTGATTTGTAATTTAGTTTTTAGATAGTTTTTGAGGAAATTATACGTTATTAAGAGAAGGGGAGCAAGGGGCGGGGGAGGCTGGGATGGGAAAAATAGACAAAAAACTGTACTTGAAAAATAACTATATTATAAACTCAAAAAAAAAAGAGAAGGGCATTACAAATGCACGAGACAACTATTTTAAGAGAATATTTTTCAAATTTGTAAGATATTAGTGCTTTAAACAACACGAATCTATTGCTTTCAATTCCCTTTAGATGTGATAGCTTAAAAGCTCTTATTTTCTCCTTTAAAATATTTTCCTCTAATTAAAAAATTCAATATATTTTGTCCTCAAGACTCCACTGATACTGTTAAATGTGAATAGATTTACTTAGAAAAATATTTTCATTGACCTAATTTGTGTTATTATATTTGTTAATGAACTAAACTAGTTTCTAAAGTAGCAGGGTTGGTAGGTGAGAGGGGACTCATTTTAGTTTGTTCTGATGGGATTCTTAGGAACAGCAGAGATGTCAGAAGTTTGGATGACATTGAATTTCTTTTCCTTTCTCTTTCCTAACATAGTGTATGTTCTGTTGAAAGTTAGCTCCTCAATGAAATCTGAGCAGATAACCTGCAGCCCTCCCCTGCCCCCCATCTCTGGCTTCGTACAAATGTGCGAAGCATGTTTGAGGTTATGGGGCCTACTGCAATAGAAGAAGTATTATGTTTTGCAGAGGTAGTGCTGTAGAGATGGCATCCTCGTTTGAAAACCCTGCCTCATATCTGCACACTCTAAATTAGCACTGCTATAGTAGAAGAGTTATGAAGGGAATCTTATTTCTGGTGGCCTAAATCTTTCCAAGCTTTAAGAATTAGACTACAGATTATGTTAAGAAATGACAAGTTAAACTTGTAGTTCTGTCTACTTATCTGTATTTTATTACTTCTGAAATTAGTTTGGACTAATGAACTGAGTTCGAGAATTAAAAATTAATTTTTTTCACTCGAGTAATTCTCACCGCCCCCAAGTTTGTCTTTCATACATTATAAAAGGAAATGGTTATACCTAAATTTTAGGATATTATATAGTCTAATGTTTGCTCGATTGTGTTGAAAATATAACTGTACTTGACAAAACAAGCAGTAAGTTGGCTCAATCAACCTCAGTGGTGATAGAGATCATGACTGTGCACTTGCTGTTGGGCTTCACCCCTAAGCATTTAAAGAAATGTTCATTGATAATGAGCCATTTAAAATAGAAGGTATAATAGTGCTTTGAACTCAACCATTATAAACTTTAAAATGTTTTTCAGATAAATGTGTTGTTGTGGTATGATGAAGCCTTGGTCTTGCTCTGATATTTTAGTTGCCACTGAATATGGGAAGGGAAGTCTTGGATCATTGTCTTTTAGTAGACTGTTAACTTCGTATCATTAATTAAACTTTTGAAAGTTGTAGGATAAATCAAATGCTTTTCTGGGGAAACAAGAAACAGTATTAATGAGCAACAACCCCGTAATTATCCTTGTGAGTACATAACAGGAACACATTGATGTCTTTGCTTTGTGTAATAACTTTTACAAAGAAGTATTTTTAAACTGATCATTAATTTTATGACCACTGAAATGAGATGCAAAATTTATGCTGTTGTCACTGGCACGGGCTCAAGGCACCACTGACATTATGTGTGATTGTAATAGAATGGCTGCCAACTAATGATTCTGTAGAGATTTTATTTGAGCACGCTTTTCTTTTAGATGTCTGATTAGGCTGTAATGCTTTCAATTATGTCTGTAAATTGTATTGGATACGTTTACCTGATGCCCATCGTTACTTTGGAGTTCAGTTTTCTACTACATAAACACAAGTTGAACATTTTCCTTTTAATTTATAGAAGTCTTTGCAGGTATAGATGCAAACACTCAGCCCCTGGGGAGAAAAATACATTGCACTACTCGAGAGCGCCCCCTGTGTTCAATTAAAGCTTTTCATAACAGGGCAGCTCTTTACTAGGTTGTAAAAATAATGAGGGAGGGGGAGAAAGGGATGGATCGTCACTGGGACAACAGTAAAATGAAGACCATTTTGAAAAATGATGTGTCCTTTCAACTAAAGGAACGTTGAGAAGGGAAGAGCCCTGTGCAGATACCCCAGAGATGCTGCTTCTTTACTTTCTAATTCAAGGAAAAGCTTTAACAAAGGGCTGGAAGGGGGAAGACTTGAATCCAGCAGTAGCACTTAATTCATATTGTCTTAGCTAAATATAAATATCACACTGATTTAAAAAAAATTGAAATGAGCTGCAGTTCTTTTACTTAAACGAGTAAAATTGTTCAAGACAATTTTACTTTAATATATATAATCCAAAATAATTTCCTTTAAAAAAACCACAAAGGTCTTTAATATGTCATTGACCAATTTGTATAGAATATTCATAACTATGCTAACTATTATTGAATTAATGGCTTTAATAATGATCTTTATGCTGTGTGTTCATGTATAGGTGTGCATATGCATGGATATACACATAAAATATATGTAGATATTATTGGAGGATAATTAATTCTGACTTCAAAAAAACTTTTAAAGTTTTATTTCTTCAGCTTATTTCCACTTAGAGTTTAATAGACTTAAGCCTAAGGATCTGAATATTTTTCAAAATTCTTTCCATATATTCATTGGTTTTAGTGTTATATTTTTATATTCATAACAGTACATATGTTAAGTACTAAGTTCTGGTGATATATTTGAAGTATTTTAATACTTTTTTTCACAGCAAAATTTATTTTATAGTTAATGATATGAAATATTCTTAGAAAATTCTTATTATAAAAATTCTTATTAAGAATATAAGGATACTCTAGCAACTAAGAGCAATTGAGAACTTTGTGATCTTTTCTACCCCATATTCCAGGGGTTATCATTCCACATCCATATGTGTTTTTACTAGCACTTTAGGAGCTTCTCTCTTAGTTCACGTTTAAAATCAGACCATGGCTCTTTCGCTCTTTCCATAAAGAGAAGTGTCAGAAGGGATCCCTGAATGTTCGGAAAAACACTTTGAACATCTTATAAACAAGAGCAGCAGTTAAGGTCTGAAGAATGAGTACTATTACTATGACATTCTAATTGGCGAGGAAACATCACCCTATGTGGCACACCCAGGGATGGAATCACTAAGGACAATAAATGGCCATCTTTATATTTTGCTCTTACTGTCTTGGTGGGAGATATTCCTGTCTTTATTTTCAGCATAAGGAGGACAGATCCTGGTGAAATATCAACATTATAAGGAAATACAGATGAATATTGATTTTTTAAGTTAACTTGATGGTGTCGTGAACAACAGGGTGCTGCCCATCACGTGGTTGTCAGAGGATACAGATAGGGTTTTGGAGCACCTGGTAGCTTTAATTGGGACCTTCTCTGCAACCATGGTCTGAAAGTAATTCTTTGGGTACTCCTGTGGAGATTTTCACCCTGCTTTTTGGCTGGTTTTCTCTTGAATTGTTAACTGATAACTAAAATTATTAACAGATAGCTAATCGATATAATATGAAATATATCTTTTCTTTATTGCTAATATGGGTGAAAAACAATTGCTTACATCTAACTAAGCTAGCAAAAATCTGAAACATTCTTTTTAAAAAAAATATTCTAAATGAGTATGTGGGGAAAATTCAAACCACAAGATTTAATTGTGGGTATTCAATGACTTCAAACCAATCAACCAACCAACCAACAAACCAACCATCCTAGGATTCTGAAATCATGTAGAAAACTGGTTGGAACATTAAAACTGTCTAGAACATTTTATGGTAGATTGAAAATAGTCACATTTTTAAAGATAGAAATCCTGTATAGGAAAAGCTGCTTTAAAACTCATATACACCTTTTACATTTAAACAAGGTTATTTACAAACTAAGATACCTTCAATTTTTACTCAGTGATATCTCACCAGTTTTTAATCTGCCCTAATGTTATCCTGTGATTTTTAATGAAAGCACATGTTCATATGGCTTTGAATGATCAATTTCTCATACTTTTTAAAGTATTGAGTAGGAAAATTGAATAATTTCTCAGTTGTATTTTTTGTGTTTAAAAAAATATTATTGTTATTATTTTGGTTTCAATTTTTTGTTTATTTTAGATGAACACTCTTTTTTTTTTTATCCTGCCTTTACTTTTTTGTATTCATCTTTGTAGAGACCACCATGATTTGGGCTTGTATTCTTTTGTACCAGGAACAAGTAGTTGTATACTGACCTTCAGAGACTCTTACCTTATCTAAATTATAGTGGATATACATTCAAACAGGACCCATTTTCCCCACTTCAAAATTTTTTCTTTGTTTTTTAAAAGACAGTGACTGAACTTAATAAGAAAATTTAATCCTTCTGACAAAGTTACATTTTTTAAAATATATTTTTTAATTTAGTTATTTTTCAGGTACAGTTTTTTGTCTATTTCTCCCATCCCAGCCCCTCCCCCTCTGTCCCGTGCTCCCCACTTCCCTCTCATCTAAAGTTACATATTTTTAAGGCGGAAAAATTATAAAAGTTTTTTCTCTGGTTCTTTTATAGGTGAGGCAGAAGATGGGGAAGAATATGAAGATCCTTTTTCTGGGCCTGCAGACACTATTTCATTAGCCTCAGACAAATATGATAAAGATGACGAAGCCCCCTCGGACGGTAAGTGATATTTTCCCATGGAATACAGCCCTGGACACTAACACCAAACCACGCAGGATGGAGACGCGTGGTCTGGCCAGAAAGCAGATAAATGCAGAGGCTTCAGTTAACTTTCCCAGAACCTTTTAAGGAACAGAAGAGCTCTCTCTAGTGGTTTTCCTCAGTATGTAGTTCCTCTATTTCCTGGGAAATTTTCTTTACTAGGATTTTTAGAGGAGTGCTTTTATCATCATGCACATATTACTAGAGAGTTTGTTGGTTAATTTAATATTATTAGATTCTTGCTTAATTTTATTATGCTGCTAATGGCTTGTTGTATTATTTATTTTATAAATAATGAAGAAGGTTTTTGATCTCTCTTTTTTCCTGAAAACTTCATACATAATTAGTTCATAAAATATTAAATTAATTATTCCTACATTGCCTTCTCACATTGAGACAGGTTTTTATCAAATACATCTTTTAACACACATTTTCATTTTTTGGATTATCACCTACAAATGCCCCACATTATGCAATAATATGACGGTGCTTTGTATTAATTGAACTAGCAATTAAGTCGATTGTTTACCTCAGTAATTTTAAAAAACTTGCCAAAGTTATAAAACTTTGTTTTTCGTGTAATGTATGCTTTCTCTGTTACAGCCAGTTGAATACATCTGCTTTAAGGAGACCTTGTCAGAGTGATGTGTCATTATAAATTTAAAATGTGTATCGATAAATTAGCCATGCATATTAATTTGCGGCACTCCGAGTTTCACATAGACACAGAAATGAATAATGCCTTCTGCCGCTGTATGGTGATCAAACTGTGCAGTCCCATCTCTACATACAATTGCTGAATGAAAATATGCTCCCTGCAACAGAGCACTCCACGTTTTATGTTACCCAGATTATTCCCTTTGGAAACATAAATTGCTTTTATGAGGTATAAAATTATGTCTATTGCAGAACAGGGATAAGTCAAGTACATGCATAAGTGATAAACATTCTAACCACTGATTCAGAACAACATAATCTTTTCTTTATATTCAGAAGTTTGTACCATGTGCAACAGTAATAATCACATCCACTTTATGTTGAATTTTATATTTTGGCAAACAATTTCTGTTTTTAAAGGAAGGGATTTTTTTCTCTTATATGTTCTTTTTTTTAAAACAGATACTCACTTCTCTTTGGTTGTACTTGCTATCTGAAATGGAGCGTCACCCTTTCTCACCTGATCTTCAAAAGCATTTCTATGAGAAAATGTTTTATAATTGATAAAACAATCCTTTCAGGCAAAGTGAATTATTATTTGAGTTGAACTATTTTTCAGATAATTACAATGATTTGTTTTGCTTCCCTGTAGAATAGTGGTAGATGGGAAAGAGTATGTGTGTGTATATATACATATATATGTATATATACACAGAGATAGAGTATTTATACTCAGGAGACTATACGTACACACACATATACATACATACATACATGGACACATACATAGAATATATTCATAGAATACATATATATACTCAGGGTTTCTCATAATAGTATAAATATTTTGATGTACAAGGGAACATTATATATATATTTTTTAATTGCAGCCTAAGAAATGCAACCATTCAATATCTGTGAGAGTCAGGGCTTTGTTAGAAAAAGTGACTGTTTTTACAGAGTAGTTAGATGATTATTGTGTTTTCTTTTATATGAAAAATTTATTATGTTTATTTCTTAACCAAATATATAGGAAATACATTATATCATGAAAAAATTTATTGTTAAAAGGTTGCTTTATCAATATTTGAATATTGTTCAATAACTTATGTATAACATTACATCTCTTGTTAAATATTGATGCTTTTCACTAATATTTATGTAGGCATTTCTTAAGCAGATTGAAAATTTAACTTTCAGTATTATTAAATTTTGATATATAAATAATACCATTTTTGATAGTTTTATATTTTCTTCTGAGAATGGTATAAGTTAATTTTAAAACCACCACTTGGAGTTTTAATTTTTCACACTAAAATGTCATCTAGTCATATCAGTTTTTCTGTCTGCAACTTAGATTTGTATGTGTTCTCTTTCCTTTGATGAATACATTTTCCTTCATGATATGATGTCAGTCTAATGATATATTAATTATAAAAAGATAATGCATTTAACAATAAGTATAACTAAATTAGCACAGGTCACCAAAAGGCCTTTCGTCAAACCAGATTGTTGTTTTGTCCTTTTGACTTTTACCTTATGGTAGATGCTAACAAAGTGTCTGAACCTTGACGGATGATGAACTCTAAACATGATATGTATTTTTCATAATGCTAATGTAATTTTCAAGGTACCGAAAAGGTCAAACCTGCACATCTCTATGTGCATTCTAAGTCTGTCTTTTCCTTTAATATTTCTTTTTCTCTGTTTCTCTGGTTCAAAAGTTCACTCAGTTCCCAAATGGCTACCTAATTTTCCAGTTATTCCCTCAAGCCATATGTGTTTTGGTTTCTTTATGGTTTATTAGGTACTGTAGGAAAGTAGCATAAGTTATATCTTCTAATGAAATTCAAGCACACTTCAGTGATGCTTCGACTTGATTGCTGGTAGCAATTAAATCACAGCCAAGGAGAATAATGCATAATCTCACAAGGTCCAGACACCCTATAGAAACTGAAAGGGGATGAAAACAGAAAACAAAAACAAAGTCTCCCCACCCTGCCAGACATGCTGTTTCCAGCCTGCCTTTTTTTTTTTCCATTGGCCAACTGCCTGATTGATAGCAAAACCATAACTTGCTGCATGCTAACAGGCAGAGTTCACTTGTAGGTTATTGTGAGCTGATAAAGGGTTAGATGGAGTTTTGATTTTCACATTGGACCTTGGTGCACCAGATTAATGGAATTTCAATGAGAGACTAGAGTAGCCACAGCTTTGTCAGAGAAACAGATGGAGATTCTATAGTCATGTCTACTCATTAATACTAGTTGCCTGAAAGGTGTGCTGCTTCTCTATACAAAAGAGTTGATATAATTGATTTTTGAGTGGTACATTGAAAAAAAGTACCTTATTGATGACTAGAATGGTAACACAGATGGTGACAGATTTTTGTACAGTTTGTAGCTTAACAAAATATTGTACTTTGTAATTTCTTCTTCTCTCTTTGGATGTGGTTTTTATTTATATTTTTTGAGGAGAAATTTTAAGATCCAACAGCAAAAAATAAGAAAATAACATGCTAAATTACCTTTTAAGAAAAAAGTAAGAGTCTGTATTTTATTTATAAATGATTATGTGACTGCTGTTTGTTTCATTTTGATATGGTAGTGTTCATTTAAAAAGTCATACTTATTTGAAATTTTATTTTATCAGCTTTGTGTTTTATTTCTTCTGGAAAATTTAAAACAAATCACAATGGGTTCTAGATAATTATAGATCACTGTTCAAAGTTTTATGCTATTGTGTGTCTGGATAAATGGAAGTGTTAATAAATAGTACATGTCAGTAATCAGATGAAATTAAATATAATGAAACTCAAAGCTTTACAGAAGAATATCTCTTATTGTACCCATGTTAGAATGTTTGGGCACCAAGGTGGTAGATGCAGGGTAGCCTTTAGATGCTGTATAATGACTTGAGTATCCATTTTTCTATTCCGAAATCATTTTTCATTCATTTTCATCATTTGTGAAAGAAAGCTTCTAACCATATAGGGTTGTGGACAGTCCCTGAGGTGAGGTGAAAGGGTTTAGTGAGCTAGAAGACATATCGGCTTGGCTGTCAACGATAGGTCGAAGGGTCCCAGTGGACGTTTGTTACAAATCTGATTCAGTCCTAGACCATAATCACTTTGTGGATAAGAATCTGGAACCTCTAGGGTGTGAATACAGGAAGGCTAAAACGAAGCTAAAGAGATAAAACAGTCATTTATTTTTAAAAAATTTTATTGAATTTATTGGGGTGAAAAATAGTCATTTATTGTCCTGGTATCTTGCTCACTAAATATTTTCAAGTGTCATAGGTTGCTGAGAACTGTGGGCATTGCAAGGACATGGGTTCATATGAATAAATATTGGTTTAGGAATGGAATTATTTTTTGAAGCCTGGGGATTTAGAAAAAAAGGCTGTTTGATCATAACTTACAATACTAAGTACTGATTTTCTTCTTTTTTGGTATACTTTTTTTTCAAGAAAATCCAGTACATAAAAATTTTGATTTATAAAACATATAAACCACTTATTCCAAAACACTGCTTTAAGCAGGATTAGCTCCAGGATGCCTGTAAATAATGCGCTCTCACAATGCATCTAAAACACGTTTAGCTTATAAGCTCATCCACTTGCACATACATAAGTTAATGTGTAAACATTACTCATCAGACTTTTGAGGAAGCTTATTTTGGGGGTAAAATCGGTTGTAACACTAATCAGATCTTGTAAACTGATAGGTAATATAGATACGCTTTATTAGCATAGATATGCTTTACTTTTCTCTGAGTTCCAGCAGAGTATGAGACAATGATTAAAACTAGGAAAAAAGGTCCTTTCAATAACTGATCAGTTAGGGTAAGTGTTTTTCTACTATAGTACCCCGTGTGGTTGTTGATAATAAAATCATATTTTTGTATCTTATTCTGATAATTTAGATAAGTTTGCAGTTTGTACATATCCTTGTGTGTATAGCATATATTGTTGTTGTACTTGTGGGTTTTTTTAAAACTTTTTTTGTTATTTAAATATACCAGTTGCTAGCTTGTGTATGTTATAGCAGTATAAGAGCAATGATTATTTTAGTCCTGTAATGTGTATAGCATAACTTCAAGTCCTATAGTTTGGGGAAATGATAAAAATAGAAGTGTTTGAACACTCAAGATATGTGTTGTGTGGTGGGAGATAAATACAAGTAAAGTACACACATGTGGAATGTTTTTATGATACAAATGTATATATGAATAAGTAAAAGCACAGCCATTGAGAATCATTGTTCTAAGTTTTATGCCATTGAATGGGAAATTCAGTCC